ATCTTATTAATTTAAGAAATGAAATTTGTTATGCTTTAGACAATTCGATTTCAAGCAAATAGAACAGCGATTACAATGCAACTTTCAAGTCTCACAACGGTTAAGTTCCAATTTGACAACTTCTTAAACCCGAGATCATGGGTTCAACTTCAAGATTTCCTAAATGAATAAACTATTCTTTTGATTTTACTATTAATTTTTAAGATGGTGTAGTTGAGACATGTGATAGTTGAATGGCGCCCATTGTTGTGTGCCTTGATATATACCCATATGGCCTATATACATTTTAGACAAGTGTTTGATTTATTTGATCTCTTATAACTTTTGTGCTAATTGGCTTTTGTAACACCTATTTTGACCGAAGAAGTTACATTTTTTTATTTTTTATTTTAAAACCGACTGAAGAAGTTACATCATTATGAATTGTGATTATTTTATGCCGGTCAAATGTACATCAACTTTAGTTGATCATAGGACTTCCTATAGAAAGTGTAACCTATTACTTTTTTTGCCAATCAAACAACATTACAATTAAAAATTTGAAGTTCTATTTTGTATAATTTCACATGTATATCAACCAAACAAACATTTAAATACGTATAGTCTGCTTTTGCATTTAGTTAATTTCAACGGCCTTTACACCCTTTTTTACCTATTAGTAGAATCTAATTTAGGTAGTTTAACCTAAGAAATTTCATCACACATGCATGCATTTTTATATGTTCATATCCCTAGACACCTTGAGGTGGAGGAGATCGAGTGGTGTCGTTAGATAAGACGTAATCATGTTGCCTCAAATTCTTGAATTTTACTAAACAAAGTTGACTTGGCAACTTCATCACAACGAACCATAAATAAATATTACGAGAGTAGTACTATTGAAAAGAGTGTATATTTAAACTCATCATATACATTTTTCTCTTACATCTGATGTATGTATCATGTGAAGAAAAATAGTTGTCAAATGTATGTAACTTACTCATTAGAATTTTATATAGTTTCTGAAAATAAATGCATGTGTTGAAAACTTTTAGAAATAAACTGCCTTGAACAATATTCAAAATGATAAGTTTGAACAATGCATGCAAACTTATTTTTGGATGCAAATTTGGACGTTTAAATAAAATAAAAATAAAATTAAAATTAAAAATAGAAAGGAGTAAGTAGTAACAGCCTAATAATAGTCATGCTTTTCACTTAGATATATGATGTAGATTATTAAGTGCATGCAATTAAATTCGAAGCATCACACTTTTCTTCCTTTGAATATAATTCAAGGTAGTTTATTTTTGGTCTAAAAGTTTGAGCACATTATATTAATGTTTTAGACGAATTAAAGAGAGTAAAACCAGAAGAATTGCATGCAATAATAATCCTTGTATTTACATTGTGAAAAAACAAATTGAAAAGCATGACCGCTCCCATATATTAAGGGTAGGGTGTAGTGATGTATGTTTTCATGACAATAGAACACGAAAATTTGGGGGCATTTAGTTTCTAACAAGAACAACTTTGAATTGGCAATTTGAGTTTTTGATGAGATTGATGAAATTTTTGACACCTTTCTTTCTTGACCAAGTGACAAATGCCTTAGTTTGGGGGTATGTGATTTGACTACTTTTGCGTTTGATTAGATTACAAGTAGGATTATATGTACATCATCCGTTCTTTTAATACTGTAACAATTGTAACTCAATGTACTTTTACATTCAACTTAAACCATTGAAAATTTCAATTTTCTAAAGGATAAAATTATTATAGGTTGACATGCATGTTGAAAAATTTAACAGTATTAAATCACCTAACTAAAGCCCAGTTTACTTCACCTTATTTTTGATACGTTGAAAATATTTTTACTGAACTTAAATTATTTCTGCTAACCTTAAATTATTTGAATTTGTGACTTGAAATCTAGTAGGGCTGACTTTAAATGCAGAAATCTCTCAAACTATATGCGATTTTGAAGTGATTCAAATTATAGGTGATAACTTGTTTCAAGAGCTTTTTGACGACAGGTCATATGATAAATTCCGATAAGAAACAAATATGTTAAGACTTTTTTTCAAAGAATTGATGAAGCCGAAATTTGTTGACGATACAGCACGCCCATGAGGGCACGCACGTTTGTGCCTGGTTGAAAGTTATGGATTTTGAGTCTCTACCTCGTCTTTTTTTTTTACAAGGAGCACGGACGTGCCTAGTCGGATAAGACCTCTTTTTAGTCCAGTTTAAGCTTATGTGTTTATGATGGAATGCTTATTAAAACCATATTTCTTTTATGACGGTTATTTCAAGTATACTTGAAGAACAATTTATGATTTTATTAGGGTTTATTTTCTTGTGTTATAAAATGGCTCTTTTGGTGACCAATTAGATCACATCCTTTGAGCCATTAGATTGAAGACTCCTTGAATATTCTCTCATTTTTCTCCATTATAGTGAAGAAGCACTTGAATTCCCCACCGTACCAATGAATGTAGGTTTAATTGACCGAACCACGTAAAAATAAAGAGATGGAGGGACTAATAAGTATGCAATGAAAAATTTTCTGCAATTTTTTCCTCCATAATAGATTAAAAGTTACTCAAGAAGGTCATGCAACTATAACTATGCAAGATTATTGAAGGAATGAAGACAATCCATTTCACGTTTATGCTTGGTTGTTTAAACATTAATTGTTATGTGGCGGAGCTAACGATGAATAATTTCACACGAAATGGTTATATTAAACTCAAGTTATTAAATAGTAATATCACGCATATATATGTTGCATTGCTCTCAACAAGATAATGAAAAACTAATAAGCTAAGGAAATTCCTATCCAAGCATGATAATTGTGGCGAAAATGAAAATGTCTAAAATCAAAACGAATTTGAGTGGTTTGGGGTCGGGATAGGGAGATACAAATTATACATAGAATATGATGCGTAAATTAGTTTGAGAATGACGAGAGAATTTCACATACAGGGGTTTGAAGATCTGATGGAATAAGATCTCAACGAATTGTAAATCCAATAGAAATTAAGACTTTGTTACAAAGCAAGATCCGGTCCTATGCGTTAGGGTTCTTCAACTTCTTTTAGTAGTGATATCTGGAGAATTTCTATGCCTTTAATAGTTTGAGTCATTTATAACTCTAATAACATTCGTTGGTATTAAGTTGAATTTAGATGATATCATTCTAATAATAACATGTATCAAAGGGTGTTAATATTATTTATACCAGTTTAAGAATGTATATAAAGTGTGTATTATTGCCAAATCAGTTTTAATGAGATTTGGGTGTATAATTAATTAATTAGGCATAACATAATTCTAAATGTCTTTTTCACAATAAATATTGACACATTCTACATGGTGGCCTTCAATAATGGTAAATTCTATTTGGTGGATTTTTCTTTACCATAGTTTCACTTTTTTCTCCATTGTGGAACACTTGGTCAATATATAGGGAAATTTATATTTCTGGCACTAATTATGACTTTCGTGTACTCAACAGCACTACAACACCAACTCTATTAATAGGTTGAGCGAGTGTCGTAATAAATGGTATCGATAATCGTTTAAATAGGCATATTTGGTGTTTTTTCATACTTATAATAGTCGTTTATGGAACCATTTATGATCATTTTATGTTGATACTAAAGTATGCATTGACTAAGTTAACTATTTTTAATTTAAGATAAATAAAATGCGTACTTTTTTTTAATAGAATAAAATGCATACTTAATGGAGAGAAAAAATGGTAAAGTTCCTAAAATCGTTTATGTGCCACATCATCACTTAATGACATGTCATTACCAATCAACAAATCATTCCAACTATTATTGATAGATTAATATTAATAAGCATTTGATGGGTTTTGAACACTAGACCTTGAGAATACAAGATCTAACTCATTACCATCTTAGCTAATAATAATTCATGTCATCTATACAAATAAATATAACTATAAATAACACGCACCAATTAAAAAGAAAACGAGATAAACAGTTTGAAAAAAAATTAAGAGGAATAAAATCAACATTTCTCAAACAATAGTATTAAAAATTGTTTTCTACACTCTTTGTTAATTAGTAACATTATGTTTAACATTTATCATACCATATATACCTAATAGATGATAATATATTTCATAAAGAAACAATTTAATCAAAGTGGTAACCCGGTACAACGTCCGGACCGCACACTAGTTTTTTTATTAAATCATACAATGATGACATGACATCTTTCTAGTGGAATTGAGAGGGGAACACTTTTTATTCTATAATCAGTCTGTATCCCAGGCAATGACCTGCGATGTAATATTCCGTGAATTTTTGTTAATTACATGATATTTGAAAACATTTTTAAAAATTGGGATGAAAAAAAATATCATTACCATAGGAAGTTAGGGTTTAAAAAAAATCTATAAAACCTTCTTATTGTCAAATATTATAGATTTGTTAGGGTTATAACTAATTATTGTTGTAAACATTGTAAGTAACCACAAGAATATGTATGTTGTTCTTAGTTTGAACCATTAACAATATAATTGATGTAACGTTGGACTATGGTTGAATTTTCACTTTTCATTCTAGGGATCACGTGTTCAAAACTTTAGAGTGACAATGCTAAAAATCAAATGGGATAATATTAAGGAATATAAGTAGTGATTTCTTATAAGTTTACACATGTATTTACATTTTTTTTTTGTCATGAGGTTATGGAATTATCAAGGAAAGAAATCAAAACAATACAAATCTTAATAATTTATTAGCATTTATATGTAAAGATTATGTTCACATGTAATTATGGAAATGATTATTTATTTCTTCTAATTTTTGATCTGGTCAAATTATTTGATATAAACCTTAGAATGTCAATTAGTCATGTAACAGTTATGCCACATGTCAATGCGCTCCTTCAATTCTAAGAGGTACTAATTAAAACTATCATAAATATCAAAGAATTAACAATTTTACCAGCATTATGTGTCATATATATCCCATCTGGTTGTATTTGAGGCTTTGAAAAATCTTATAGCACAATCCTCTATATAAACTCTAGAGAATCTGCTAGGATAGTCACACATACTATTTAGTCCTACAATCCCCCTTGAGTCAAAGAAGCACTTACTCAAAGTCCAATTTCTTCTTAGTTTCAAAACAAAAAATCAGTCTCTACGTTCTTTCTCACCTCTTTTGCAAAACCCAAAAAAAGAGGAAAAAAAATGGAAGAAACCACTGTTCTAGTTGTAGGAGCAGGCCCTGCAGGACTTGGAATTGCGGCATGCTTAACCAAAAAATTTATTCCCTACATTATTCTTGAAAAAGAAGATTGTTGCGCTTCTCTTTGGAAAAAACGCACATACGATCGATGTCATCTTCACCTAGCAAAAGAATTTTGTTCATTACCATTGAAGCCTCATACACCACATGCCAAGAAATACTTAGGTAAGGATGATTTCATAGATTACATTGATGAATATGTTTCTGCTTTTAATATAAGGCCTCGATACTTTAACTCTGTTGAATCTGCATCCTTTGATGAAGCCACGGGAAAATGGCTAGTTGAAACCAAGAACACCTTACAAAAGGTGACTATAGTTTTTGTGGCAAGGTTTTTGGTTATTGCAACAGGTGAAAATGGCAAAGGTTACGTTCCTGATATTCCTGGGTTGAAGGATTTTAAGGGAGATGTCTTACACTCTAGTGAATATAAGTCTGGTCGTGAGTTTCAAGACAAGAATGTTTTGGTCGTTGGATGTGGCAACTCTGGGATGGAAATTAGTTATGATCTATGTAATTCGGGAGCTGACACTTCAATTGTTATTAGAAATCCGGTTAGACTTCTTTGCTCCAAATTGTTTATCTACTAAATTTGTCTATCTGTTACAATTTAAATTAAATTTTCTTTTAACCACACATACGCACACAAAAAATAAAAAAATTAAATGTATTAATGGATAAACTTAATTATTGTTTAATTTCATCCATGCAGGTTCATGTGGTTACAAGAGAAATAGTTTTTGTGGGAATGCACTTGTTGAAATACTTTAGTTTGTCAATTGTGGATCCACTTATCACTTTTTCTAGCAAATTAATGTATGGAAACTTGTCAAAGTACGGAATTCATCGACCAAATGAAGGCCCTTTTTTCTTGAAGGCAACCAGGGGAAGAAGCCCAGTTATTGATGTGGGAACTATTGATAAAATTCAATCGGGGGAAATTAAGGTGAATTTTATACCTAATCTTTGTTAACCATCTCTTTTATACATTGGAATAATTTCTTGGTATTATTATTTTAGCTAAGGAAAAAAAAACGATTTTATGTATACTATATACTAAAAAACGTTCCTACAAATTTCACTGTCTCACTTGTGTCCCTTCTTACACTAGTATAATGCCACATAACCAACACTAGCATAACGCCACATAACCAACACTAGCATAACGCCACATCATCAATCAATCAATCATCAACCACCAATCTATATCCTATCATCATCATTAAATAAAAACGGATACCAATCAACCTTTTTTTCTCGGTTAATTCTTGTTTGATTTTGTTAACTTTGTTTTTACTATCGTGAACTGTCAATTGCAGATGACATATGGATTTAATTATTGAAATACAATATCCTTTAGGACTTCTTTACAAAGAGGTTTGAATTAGAACACCAAACATCAATGAATGAAAACCTTACTTATGAAATCTCAACTAGAAATAAATCATGCTCTATTTTTTCGTACAAATTTATAATTACACATTGAAATGTAGAATAAAAGCAAAAAAAATATGTAAGCTAATTTATTGGTGTCATTATATTGTAATTACTGATGACAATAAAAAAATCAACAAGTTCCTAACTCTATTGTAAAAAAAAAAAAAAAAAAAAAACTCAAAGTATCCCGGAGCAAAACCCAAGTTAAGCACTAGTTTTTCCCCTTCATCTTTTATTGAATTCTAGGAGGACAGCACAATCTATCATAACAATGCCCACAAGGTCCATATTATTTGGCTTGCTTATATATTTCACAATATTAAAAATGCACTTTATAATTTGCCTTAGCTTGGTTTCAACATTGTTAGAAGAATTTAATGGGGTTAATTTAAGAAAACAAATTCTTTGTTTTTTTTCATACTTTTGTGTGAAGAAAATTTTGCTAAGAATCAAAAAGACAAAAAATATATCATTTTTTTTATCTCACTGAATCTCTTACCTTGATTCTTATTATTTGCAAATAGGTTTTACCAAGGATTGTTAGTATTAACAAGAGCAAAGTAATATTTGAAGATAAAGTTGAACTAGAATTTGATGCAATAATATTTGCGACTGGATATAAAAGCACGACTTGTGAATGGCTTAAGGTATGTACAATTCTAATCAATAAATTTATGTGACTAATATGTACTCTCTTTATGTAACCACTTAATTCATGATCATCGATCATAAATGTTCATTCGTAAGTAAATCTAAGTTTAGCTAAACATTGTGAGCTACTCTCCCTACATTCCAAATTAGTTTACACACTTCAGCCGAATGAGTATATGTATAAAATTGAGATTATGTGAGAACCAAGGTGAGTAATAAGAACTAGGAACTAATCTCAACCATTGATCGCACTCCATCTAATGGCTTACATTGCACCCGCTCTTATTAATGGCATTCTCGTAATTTTGCTGTTTTCAAACTTTATTTTTTTAGTTTTTTTTTATAAAACTTTTAAGGCAATTTCATTTACTTTATGACTGATTTCATTTACTTTTACTAAATTTTTATTTACTTTTGAGAAATAAAGCTGAAAACTACTTTATAAAGTTAAAATATTACAAAAATGTCGTTAATGACACGGAAAGCATGTGAGTGGTCTGATTAATATGATCTAATGGCCTAGATTAGTTCCTAGTTCTTATTTTTGCCTTGGTTCTCATTATAAGTTCCTAATTCTTATTTTTTGCCTTGGTTCTCATTATAACTTGGTATGAGAGTTGGAAGATAAAGGAGGTATGTCTAAATAAAATAGAACAAAAATAAATGTTCAAAATTAAAAGTGGGTAAAAAAAATAAAAATACAAAGAGACAAACGCATAAACCCCGGCTTACATGTTTTAATAAATTAGTCGAAGTAGTGCATGCAAGTATGTAAACTAGTTATTATTAGAAATACTATGTATATTATTACAAATTTATAGCATAAAAACCTAAAATGGTATTGTATTGTATTTTTTGTAGGATTATGATAGCATACTAAAAGATGATGGGTTTCCAAAGAACCGTTTCCCAAATCACTGGAAAGGAAAAAATGGATCGTACTGCATCGGATTATCAAGAATGGGACTACAAGGTGTATCAAAGGATGCTATAGTCATTGCTAATGATATTGATATAGTTTTGAAAACTATGGTAGTCCCAAAAGAATTTTAAAAAAACTATGTATTGCTAGCGTTAAGTTTTGCGGATGTTAATTTTGTTTTTTTCCTTTTCCTTAAGGTTTATGTTATTGTACTAGCTATTTTCCTTGATAAAAAAAAATGTTGTGCTATTTACATTTAGGTTTTACTTTGTGTAGACTTGTTCATGCTCCTACAGTCCTACTTATATAGGGGCAAATCTATATATGTGCTTTATATCAGCAAATTGATGACTTTTATGCTAAAAAAAAGAAAAACGGGGCATATGATTAGTTCATGATTAATATATAACATTTCAAAGGTATTTAGCTTATCATTTACATTAGCATGGTCCATATTTTCCCTTATGGTACTAGGTGCTTAATCATGTGGCATCGTGACAAACTAACATTAAGCATGAATCATTTTCTTGATAAGCATCTATATCTATATTATTATTAAAACTTAATGGTAATACACTAATATATGCTATGTTGTCATATGTCAATAATATGGCGTCAAATCATGTGTATAGTCACATCTATCTATGTATCTATCTATCTATCTAAGTATATTATTTCTAAAACCCAAAGCAAAAAGTTACAATTTACATTAATGCTATCAGTAAATAAGAACCTTAATTACGAGGAGAGATAACATTTTAGCTTTTAAAAAATATAAATAAAATAAAATAAAATTTTATATAATTAAAAAATAATTAACTATGAAAAAATACCAACCATGAAAAAATACCATTGATATAGATTCCTTTTATCTTATAATATAGTTCCTGCAATTCATTTAAGGTGTCCCAAAATATTGTGTTTATTTTATTACACGTTATAGTCAAAGTTTTTTTATTTTACATAATTTTGACGTAATAAATCTATTTTGTTTAACAATTTTCATATAAAATATCTCTATATCCAAAGTTTCATTTATATAATGTCATTATTATTCATTTCATATAAAATACTCATACTTTTAATACTTTATTACATGTTTTTTCCATTATCCTTAAATCTTGTGAAAAATTGAAATGATCACCATATTATAAAACGGAGAAATTATATTCGAATTAAAAATAACACACATGCACGCGCGTGCACACACAAACACACTTAATTGGCCAAACAATTCAATCAATCAGCAACTCCTCATTCCTTCCCAAATCCTTCAAAATTATCCATGGAAATTGAACCATTGTTCGAAATTAATCAAACGTAAGAAAATTAACAATAACATGCCTCAACATTATTCATGGTCTTTTCAATTCCTATTGTAATTGTTTATAAATATTAATTAAAAATTCATTTTAGTTTGGAAAAATTGAAAAGAATAATCCCACCTTTCACCCATCTGCTCAAAATAATCCCACCTCGTCGAATTCCAGAAATAATCCCACCTTAACACCCCATCTGCTTAAAATGAACCTTTTTACTTACAACCGTTTAAACAGGTAAATTTTTTGTTTTGTTTTTTTAAAAAAAAAATAAAAGGAAAAAGACTATTAAAAAAAAAAAGAAAAAGAAAAAATCCCAAACACCCTAACCCAGCCCACCCCACCCTACCATTGGCACCGCCCCCAAGACCACCCCCTTCATTGCCACCATCACCACCACCACAACCCCCTGCCGCCACCCCTTTATCACCCCCATCACAACCCCCTGACGCCGGAAAAGCTAGACCAACCGCCGGTAGAACAGCTAGACCAGCCACCCTCCTTGATTCCATCCCCTTCTCCGATTCCCTCCCCTTCTCCGTTCCCCCTTCCACTTCCCCTTCTCCGATTCCCTCCCCTTCTACCTTCCCCTTCCTCGATTCCCTCCTCTTGGTGTGTGAAGTGATTCTTCGTCGGTCCCAGAAACTCCGATTCGAGTTTTGGTCGGACAAATGCCCAGATTCTCCGATCGAGTTTTGGCCGGACAAAAGCCTGAACCCATTCGCCGTCGGGCCCATACACCACACCTGAACGAAGTCTTCCCCGAAAATTTGGGGTGGGGATTTTGGGTCGAAACCTCGGAGCTTGACAAAACGGAATCAATGACGGTTGAAATCTCAGCTCGGGTTAGGTGGGCTTGGCTCAGGTGGCGGGGTGAGCGGGGCTGCATTTCAGGTGGGCGTGGCTCAGGTGGATGGGTTGGGCTTGCATCTTAGGTGTCCAGGTTGGTGGTGATGGTGGGAACTGGGAAGGTGGCGGCAAAGGGCTGTGATGGTGGCGATGAAGGGGGTGGTCGTGGGGCTGGGAGTTTTTTTTTTTTATTTTAATTGTTTTTTTTTGAATTATTTAAAATTAGGACCAATTAGAAGGTGACAAGTGTCAAGTCACCTTCTAAAACAAGTTACTAATTTCATAAACCGGTAAAAGGTTCATTTTGGAAAGATGGGGTTACAAGCTGGGATTATTTCTGGAATTCGACGAGGTGGGATTATTTTGAGCAGATGGATGAAAGGTGGGATTATTCTTTTCAATTTTTCCTTTTAGTTTTTGTAATACTTCATAATTAATTTTATGAAACTTAATATTAATATGAACGTGAAAACCATAACCACTAATTGTAACACAAGTGCATCATAATTATTCTTTGTGATATGAAAAAATTCCTATCAAACATGTAGAGTCCAAAAAAGGAATCAAATATCAATGGTCAATATAATCCAATAAACTTAGGCTTACATTTAAAAATTTTGTGCGTGGAATCATTTAAGTCACTAATTAGAGGCTAATGTCACTCTTTGCAAACTATGTTTGATGTAACATGATTAGTTATTATTATAGCATTAATTTTATCTTTAATCTCATATTTCATTGGATGACCCAGGGCATTGTCTGGGCTAACAACTAGTTTTAAAAACAAAAGGTTGGGCAAAAATGAGAGGGTAAACTAACCATTAGAGCTTCCTAAAAAAAGCAACAATCGAAAGTAATTCAAAACCACTTGTTCTTATGTTTGTTTTTACTTCCTATATATATATATAAAAAAAATAATCATTACGAAAACCTATGGGCTTATTTCTTATTATTCTAAGCGTTTTTTTTCTTCTAATTTTCTATATTTTAAAACAAAAAAAAAATAAAAAAAAAGAAGCAATTTTCCCTTTCACTTTTTTGTTGTCAGTTTTCTTAATATTTATTATTTCAATAAGTCAAACTAATTACTAATTCTTTGTATGACATATATAATTTTACTTTAAAAAATACCAAAAAAAAAAACTAAAAACTACAATGATATTAAATGGACCCTAAAAAATTTAAATTATTAGTCCATATTTTCTTGAATAATCATCATTTATTTCAAGATATTTAGATATAGTTCCTTTGTACATTTTACTATGACAACTTTAATAACACGAATTAGGCAAGTCTTTTCTCAAAAGTATAATTTGATCTATTATATGAAGTATATCATATCATAAGTAGATCAGTTCACATGGATATGTAGTGTAATTTCTTATCATAAGTAGATGGGATAGGTATGATATGAAGTATATCATTTTTATTTCAGTGACTTACCTTTTCAATCAATACCAAACATGGTAAAATCAAATGAATCCACAAATGCTTTTCTATTTAACATAAATTTCCTCAATATTTTATTTTTTCAAATTTATGATGTCAATCATGCACATAAGATATTTTATTTTAAGAAAATCCATATATATTAGGCTATGAAAAATCCAATATACATTAGGCATTACATCTTATAATCATAAGTTCATGTACATAAGATGATATTTGATTTAGCTATGAAAAATCCAATACACATTTATATGACCTCTAAGTTGATACATAATTAAGCATTTTAATCACAATTAAGTACATTTATGTACTATATACATTGGCTTTTTAATTTAAGCTAATCCATTATTCGTGATTTTGGCTAATCCAATACACATATATGATCTATATGATAAACATTTAAGCATTATTATAATCACAGTATAGTCTACTTACATATAAAGACATTTAATTTAGCTAATCCATGGCTTTAGCAAATCAAATACACACACATGACCTTAGATAGATAATTAATTAGGCATCTTATACTTAAAAAAATCCATATTTTTACAATATATCTTTTGGGTGGGTGAAATTTATTCGGCTAATGATATATGTATCCCTAAAGGGATAGAGATACGAATTTGCATTAAATATGTATCCTTAAATAGTAAAACTTAGTGCATTTTTACCTACAAACTTTTTCATTTTTCATTTAATTCAATGTGAAAATATAAATATTAATTATGTAATACTTGTATGCGAAGTAAGAACTGAAAGTTTTTTTTATTTTATTTTATTTTTTGACAGAAAGAACTGAAAGATTTAGAGGATTGGTTTATGGCTAAATTTGAATAGCTCATTTAGACTTTATAAAAATTAAATGTGAATGAAAAATGAAATCAATAATACAGACAGTCGTTTACTATTTTGTGTTCATATTAAATTTAGGAAACGATTTTTGTATTCTAAAGTTTTTTGCACATCCTAGCAATTAAGTTATATATGGTAGATCTTAGCTTAGGATGCCAAATTGTCCCAAGATTTATTTGTAACAACGACACATACATGCCAATTCCATCCCTCCACACAATACCAACTCATCACATAAATAATTATTAAATTTTACCAATACTAATTGTCATATTATTCATATTAAATGTAGGAATGCCTTTTGGATACATTACATTTTACCATGACCTAGTAAGTTATGTGTTGTAATTATTAGGAAGTCAAAATAACTCAATATGTTTAGTATTATTAACACCACATGCCAATGCGCTCATCTTAAAAGATACTAAAATCATCATATCAAGGAAATGACACCAATATTAATTGTCATATTCCATAAGAAGGCTTTTATCTATATGTTTTGAAAAATCTTACAATACAACCCTTTATTATAATCCTATATATTCATACTAAACAATCTGGAGAGGTAATCCCAAACACGCTATATATTTTGTCCCAAATTTCTCCTCAAGTCATCAAAAATACCAATTCCAAAGTTCTTCCATCCTTTGAATATACATCTTTTTCTTTTTTTTTTTTTTTTTTTGCCAAATCAAAACAAATTATATAAAAGAACATATATGGAGGAAACAATAGTCCTAGTAGTAGGAACAGGTGCTGCAGGGCTTGGAATTGCTGCATGCTTAACCAAAAAATCTATTCCCTACATTGTTCTTGAAAAAGAAGATTGTTATGCTTCTCTTTGGAAGAAACGAGCATATGATCGATGTCATCTTCATCTAGCGAAAGAATTTTGCTCGTTACCCTATAAACCTCATGCACCACATGCCAAAAAATATATGAGTAAGAATGATTTCATAGAGTACATTGATAATTATGTTTCCGACTTTGATATCAGGCCGCGATACTTTCACTCTGTTGAATCTGCATCTTTTAATGAAGCTAAGGGAAAGTGGCTAGTTGAAGCTAAGGACACATTAGTGAAAATAACTAAAGTTTTCGTGGCAAGTTTTTTGGTTGTCGCTACAGGTGAAAATGGAAAGGGTTACATCCCTAAAATCCCTGGTTTGAAGGATTTTAAGGGAGATATAATACATTCCACTGAATATAAATCTGGTCGTGAGTTTCAAGACAAAGATGTGTTGGTCGTTGAATGTGGTAATTCTGGGATGGAAATTAGTTATGATCTGTGTAATTCAGGAGCCAACACTTCAATTGTTATCAGAAATCCAGTTAGTGTTTTTTTAATCATATTTTTTTATCTTATAGATATAACGAACACAAATAAAGTGTGCATGTGAATTAAATTTATTGTTGATCAAATCATATAGGTTCATGTGGTTACAAGAGAAATGATCTCTGTGGGGATGCACTTGCTGAAATACTTAAGTTTATCTACAGTGGATGCTTTAGTCACTTTTGCTAGCATGTTGATGTATGGAAATTTGTCAAAGTATGGAATTTTTCGACCAAATGAAGGTCCTTTTCTACTTAAGGCAACAAAGGGAAGAAGTCATGTTCTTGATGTGGGAACCATTGCAGAAATTCAATCTGGAAAAACTAAGGTAAATTTTCTACTCGTGAATATTTGTTTGCTAACATTTTCTTTGGTATTATCCAACAATAATGAAACAACAAATTATTTTACCTGAAATTGAGAGAATTAAAAAGAGCAGAGTCATATTTGAAGATAAAGTTGAATTAGACTTTGATGCAATAATATTTGCTACTGGATATAAAAGCACGGCTTGTGAATGGCTTAAGGTATGTACATTACCTCAAGCTCATGAGACTTGAATAATAATTCAATCTTAGTATTTAATATATACGCAAATGTAGTACAGTAGTACACACATGCATAAACACACACACAACAGAATCTGGTCATCATCATATTCCTTATGTTTTTTTTTTCTTTTCTATATTATCTTAACAAGCGGTAATAAGTATGTTACATTATTATTGCATAAGCGCTTAATGATTTTTGTTGTTGTTGTTGTTGTTAGGATTACGGTTATATACTAAATAGCGATGGATTTCCAAAGAATCGTTTTCCAACTCACTGGAAAGGAAACAATAATTTGTATTGTGCTGGATTGTCAAGAATGGGACTACAAGGTGTTTCGAAGGATGCTATAGCCATTGCCAACGATATTGAGATAGTTTTAAAGACTATGCTTCGCTCTTGAAGAAATACCAAATTTTTGTATGAATTTTTAATTGTTAGTGTAATTTTCAAGATCGCCTTGTTTATCAATAATGCTGTCCATACAAATCTGGTTTTGATTTTGCATAGTTAAGCTAATAATCCTATTTACATTTATAGATGTGAAATAAAATTTTAATATTTTCAACATATTGCCTTTATGAATTATTTTTCATATTACTCATGCTTTTAGCACCATTGTTACAAAGGAACTTAATTTATACTAAAGTATGAGCAACCTTCTCGATGATGTTATATACTACTAAGTGGATTTCATGTGATACAAAATACAACCACTTCATATTTACATACAACAAAGTACTAGTTTTTAAAGAGCAAATTCAAATGTATCAATATGATAAATATGATTTGTTTATTAAAGGGTATATAAGAATATTTAATCTTGAATAGTAGGGATAATTTAGTCATCAATTTATATTTTTGTCGGGGAAACTCAGTTTATGAGAGAAGGAAATTAGGAACTGAGCTGAACTGAATTCTTTATAAGAGAAGGAAATTAGGAACTAAATTAAACTGATTGTAGCTGAACTAAAATTAAGCTGAAGAGAACAGACCCTTACTGAACTTAATTGTTTTTACTGAACTGAAATTGATTTTATTGAACTGAAATTATTTTTGCTGAGCTTAAATTATTTTTTGCTAATTTTGTATTATATTTTTTCTTTAAGTTTACTGAATTTTACTGAATTGAAATTATTTTTGGTTGAACCGAACTTATTTTTACTGAACTGAAATTAATTTTATTGAATTGAAATTATTTTTACTGAATAATTTTTGTAAGGTGAAGTGAACAGGGCCTTAATATGACTGTTCTTCTTACCTACCCAATTAAGTTAATTTGTTTTTCTTTATTATTATTATTATTATTATTATCAACATTAAAACCTACAAATTCAATCAATTTACAAAAATTGGTAGGGAGCCGAGATACAATCTGGGCCCCCACCCCTCTAGCTATAGCGAACCCGGTCCTACTAAAGATGTGAGCAGCTGCACTAGCACCAATATCCCGCGTCTTAGCGAACGCATGAACCCGTTTTAGCAACGCAATAACATCCTTATCTAATTCCCCTCACGAATTATTATTATTATTATTATTATTATTATTATTATTATTATTATTATTATTATTACTATTTTGCTTCCTCCTTTTTACATGTAAATTTTTTACAGTACACTATTTACACATTCCACAGTAAAATCTAATTTAAGCACTCGTGTATATATATAATATATATATATTTACAAATGTATAATCGAAGACATTAATGATTGATTTTATTATTATTATTATTATTTTTTCTTTTATTTTTACAAAAGTATAATTATATCTTGCAGTTCAAAAAAAAAAAAAAATTTATATCTTGACAAACATAAAATAAAAATTGTTACAAACATTTTTTTTAATTTTTTTTATTCTCTTAGACCCATTCGATAATTAAAAAATAAATACTCGTATTATGAATATCATGGGCATGCTGAGGAGGCCCATAAATAGCAGCTCATTCAAAAGTTAATTTTATAATCCGCGGTCTTAAACATGGCTACGCGTTCTTTATGGGGAGTTGCGGCCAAATGTATTGCGGCGAGCACTGCCGTCGCCGGCGGATCTGCCGGCGCCACCATTTTAACCTCCGACGATCCTCCGGCGACGCTTAAACTTTGGACCAATGTCCCTGTACGCCTCTTTCGCAACGCTTCTACCGCCGCTAGCATCGTCTTCGGTACTCTTCTTATCTTCTATAATTCTTATAGATTTGGTGTTTTGATTTGTGGAGGGATTTCTATTAGGGTTAGGGTTTCAGTATTTTGTGTAATGAATTCAAATTTGTGGATGTTTGTTTTGATTTGATGGAAATCGATAGAAGTTTGTTGTCGAATTTTGATGTTTTTAAGTGATTTTGGGTGATTTGAAGTTCAATTTCTGATGAATTTGTGTATTAGTTGGCAATTGGGTCAATAGTTAGATGAATGTTTCATTAACCTAATTCTAGTGTGTATACTATGATCTGTATTATTTTTAGTATGTTACATTTCACCTCAAATAATACCCTTGTTGGATTTGATTCTCATTTTGGACCAAATTATGCAATTATACTTTCGAGTGCACTGAGTAACATAGTACTTAACAATGGAATGTTCAAAGAGTTGGATCTTTGATATCAAATTAGGATACCAAAATGGCGAATTGAATCACAAATGGTATGAAGGTGTTTCTTTTAGATGAATAAGAAGGACGAGGTTTTAAAAAAAAATGGAGGATAGTTAAAACATTTATGCAGGCAGCTGCAGGAAATTAGTTTCTTGGTGCATAGCGGCCTTGTTCGGAGTGATGTCCTAGGAACTATTGCAACTCCGACATTCTATGTTGAACTAGTCACTTGTTAGCCCAGCAGTGAACTAGATGTTTGAGATTGCAATATGCCAATATCTGCTAAAGAACAAATCTTATGTCCATTAGTTAATTCTTACGGAGTAACATATAACCCTAGCCTTAAACCTTATGCTGAGGGCAGCAGAAGTTTTGGTGCTTCTTGTTCTTCTTATTTCTTTTTGCTGAACTGCACACATAATACTATATCTCCTAGCTTGGTACTAGCGTTAAACAAATTGTCTTTTGTTTGTGGTAGGATCTTGCTGTAATGAAGGCGATTTTCTCAAGGTGTTTTCGTAGTTGCCTTTATATTAGGATTCAAATATGTGCCATTTTGTTGGGCAATCTTTTTTACTTGAGTACTTGACAGATAGTATGTTTTTAATAAATACACAATGCCTTATTCTTGAGTTTTATCTCTTTACCTATGCCTTGAGAATGGTCCTACTAAACTATATGGTCTCATACTTTATATGTATTTCTTTAAAATAATTGGAAATATTTTGTATACATTCTGACATCTTTTTGCATGGATCAGATTATGAATATTCTCTGATGGGATTACCAGATGGGAGCACGGAGTATTCAAAAATGAAACATAAAGTTCATCTTAGAAGTGCTCTTAAGCTCCAAGATCTATGCTTCAGAAATGGAGGAATATATATTAAGCTTGGTCAACATATTGGTCAATTGGTATTTTCTATACTTTCTAGCATTTAAGAACCGATAGCAAACTGAATTTACTACCTGTGATAAATTTGAAGCTTTGGCATGATTGTCTAATAGATTTGTTAGAGGGCATAGATGGATTTTTGTTTGCTTCTACAATTCTAATGCTGTTTTTTTTATCATCTCTGATTCAGGAATATCTAGTGCCTGAAGAGTATGTAAAAACAATGAGGGAGTCTATGCTGAATAAATGTCCGGTTTCATCATATGATCAAGTGTGTGACGTTATAAAGAAGGAGCTTGGAGGGATGCCAGATGAAGTATGTTCATCCCCCCCCCCCCCAACACACACACACCTGTTTATCTTCTTTCTTGAATCCATAACATGCTTCTTTAGTTTAATCTCTTCTTTTATGTTATGCTCTGCGTTTGCTTCTCAGCATACAAATGGATAGTTTTCACATATCATAGAATCTGAGAGAAAAACACCTTTTAAAAACTATAAAAACTTCCAGTGTTAGAGTGGGGTGCTAGGCGAGAAAAAGAACACTTAGAAACTATAAGTTTTATTTGTTCTCTAACCTTAGTTGTGCCTCTCTTTATATAGGCTTCGAAGTTGTTATTGTGTTTATAGGTATGATAGTGTTCCCCTTGAAACATCCATATGACCATATTGGCCAATGGACCATGGACCTGCCATTCCAGCCAATGTGATGGGATGGTAGGCAGGTTAATGCCCTCCTGATGGATCCACCTCTCCCTTAGTGAGATCCAAACCAAGGCTGAGCTGGGGGGGAGGGGGAGGGGGCGGGGGGGGGGGAGTTCAGATAGCTTCTCTTTCTTTTTTTCCTTTCTGCCAGAAAATAAGGCAAGTTGATGCCCTCAAGGCCCCAGAAGAGAGTTGATGCCCTGGTAGCTGGAGCTCAAAATTTGCTTTATTATGTGCAGATTTTTGCCAAATTTGATCCTGCTCCCATAGCAAGCGCTTCCCTTGCACAAGTTCATGTTGCACTGCTGCGTAATGGCCAAAAAGTCGCTGTGAAGGTTACAATTTCTGTATTATTAATGTAAATAAGATCATGGATCATACACAATGTGGATTTAAGTGCTGAGCCTAGTATTTCCTTTTGTTTTCTACATTTCCCTGCTACTTTCTAATATCCAGGTACAGCATGCTCACATGACTGATACTGCGGCTGCAGATTATGCAACTGTGGAGCTGATTGTAAACACTCTTCATCGGTTGTTTCCCAATTTTGATTATAGGTACTTTGATGTATTGCACTTTTGTTTACAGGTTAATATTCAAAGTGCATAATTACCCAATTTTAAAATCTTGTTATGATGCCATGCTAAGATAATTTCTTTAAACATGATGAGAGCCATATCATTAAAAAAACTGTAAATTTTTTGTCCTTGAACTATACCCACTGCTCTAATGTGCCAAATATCTTGTCGTATATAGGTGGTTGGTCGCTGAAGTTCGAGAAAGCTTGCCTAAGGTATGTTGTAAAACTTAAATATAAATAGAGAAGCAGAAGTTGAAGATGTTGGGGAGAGACCCAATGAGAAAGCCTTTTTAATTGGAAGGGTGATGTGCAAATTTCTGGAACTGAATGTGCATTATTTATGAGTTCTGTGTATATCTTTTACTGAACTGAAATTGCATCTATTGAAAATAAAGATTTGCTTGATTAAAATAACAGAGCACATACTTTTAAATAAAGTTGCACGTGTTATTAACTTCTAAACGTTGCAGTTAATAAAACATGCACACTCTGTTAAGAAAAAAAAAAAGAGCAAAAAAGTGTTAGCTCCTTCTCATTTAACCTCAAATCACTTCTTTGACTTTTTATCTGGCTTATATGCATCTACTTGGTGGCTTGGTGCTGATATGACTATTTACTCCCTATGAGACTTCATTATTGACTGTTCTGGATTTCATGTATATTTTTCTTTGCCAAATGACTCATCAGATGCTACTCCCTTGGGCTATTTTTAGTTGTAGCGTGTGGATTAAACTAGTCTTTTAGGATTTATCAGGAAAAGAGAAAGATTGCGCGACTTAATTCCCTGCTTTCCCCTTTATTAAGGACAGTTAAACGACTACACTCTCTGTCCTCGACTAATTGTCCATTTATGATTGGGCACGCATGTTAAGAAAATATAGTAGCGGAGTGATTAAATGTGTGTTTGTGTGCGCGCGCGCGTGTGTGTGTGAGAGAGAGAGAGAGAGGACAAGATTACGTGACTGAATTCCCTGCTCTGTCCTCGATGACTGTCTTTGTATGCTTGGGCACGCATGCTAAGTGTATATAGTAGGGATTACCTAAATGAGTAGGGTTCCACATCATTGGAGTTTTTGTGAGGTAAATATCCTATTCAAGGTAATTGGATAATATTTGGGGTTGACAAAGATCGTGGACTGACCGAGCTTATAATTTGCGAATGGTGGGTTTATAAGATGGAGTGAGTAAGGGCGTTATTAAAAAAACTACTTAATGTGCTCTGACATTATAACCTTTAGCGTAACTCCGTAAGGCACGAAAGTTCATCAATACGAGTATATAATGTGAATTTAAGGATGGATGTCACAAGATATCATTATTTGATTGAGGCTGTACCTTTGCTTTATCAATATGCTAATTTTGGTGTTCTTCATTCTGAAAAAGCTAATTCTGTGTATGTAGTTTTATCTATTTTTATTGGTCAGATCTGAAGTATTCTGTGATTCAATCTGAACTTCTGAAGAATTCTGTGATTCAGCCCTTTGCTCTATGTTCCTTCTTAAATTTGTATGTCGATTCGTTGTTGTGATTAAATTCTTAGTCATGGGAAATCAAAATGAAAACTTGTTGATATTAGTAATCATTGGTGTTTGTCTTTCTTTATACCCGGCACACTTTTCCATATTATGTTGGATTGTTTTTGCTTGAAGACAATGATGAAAATTTCTGAATTTTGCTGTCCCAAAGCGTTATTGAAAATTGAAATTACACAGAAAATAAATTCAATGAATGATGCTTATTTACATTTCATGCAGTGTTTGTAAGGAGTTTGGAGGGTGTATTAGCTAAAAATAAATGCACTGAGTTTCATTTTTGTATATTCAGGTTGGTCTACCTTTGTAGTTGAGAATTCTTTAATAATAGTCTCACTAGTTCGAGTCTTCTGGACCAGGCTTTTGATCTACCAAGTTGGGGGCCTTGGGGTTCGCAGGGCATGCTGCTAAGAAACCTAGATCTGTTTTCATTGGATTGGTATCTAGTAATAGAGTTGTCAATTCGGGTAAACGGGTCGGGTAAGAGTGGGTCGGGTCAATTCAGATTAATTTCATATCCTATGCGGGTCGGGTTTGGGTTGGGTCATATTTGAGTCGGGCCATACTTCTTCTCGGGTTTGTGTCGGGTTTAGGTCGGGTTAATAACAAGTCGGGTTACATTCGGGTCGGGTGACAAACAAGTCGGGTTTAATTCGGGTTTTCACGGGTTAGGGTAATTCTCGGGTTCGGTTCAAGTAAATAATTTGCGGGTTAGAATCAGGTTAGGTCATTCTCGGGTTTGAGTCGGGTTCGGTTCAAGTCAATAATTTGCGGATTATAATTAGGTCGGGTCATTTTCAAGTCGGGTCATTCTGGGGTTCAAGTCGGGTTCGGTTCAAGTCAATAATTTGCGGGTTATAATTAGGTTGGGTCATTTACAAGTCGGGTCATTCTCGGATTCAAGTCGGGTTATAAGTCAATAATTTGCATGTTACAATCAGGTCGGGTCATTTCTAAGTCAGATCATATTCGGGTTCAACTACCTATAAATAGATAATTATCATTTTTATCAAGCTAATTATTTCCTTTGACTATAATATATATGGCAATATACTGGGGAACTATAGTCTATAATTTAGGAACATAATTATCTCCTTTGACCATACAACAAATATATACTATATTTAACTCTTAAATTTGAGAATGATGCTCCTTTTTTTTGCTGGCGTGGACCGACTTGGTCTCCCAAGACAAAATGCTTTGATCAACAATAATAAGGTGGTCTAAATTGCTTTTAAGGTGATTTGAAATCGGGTCAGGAACAATGTGGGTTGAATTTAGGTCGGGTCAATAACAAGTGTTAATTTCGAGTTGGGTTAGTAAATGGTCGGGTTGGAATTTTGGGTTGGGTTTGGGTTGGGTAAGTGCTAGGTTTGGTAAAATTCGAGTCGGGTCAATAACAAGTTAGGTTGAATTTGGTTCAGGTCAATAACAAGTCGGGTTGATTACAGATCAGGTTTGTAACAGGTTGGTTAAATTCGGGTCGGGTTAGGAACGGGTCGGGTTGAATTCAGGTCAGGTTCGTAACAAGTCGGGTTAAATTCAGGTTTTGACGGGTTAAAACGGGTTTAGGTCAATTTCGGTTCAAGTCAAGTTCGGTGCAAGTTAATTAAATTGGCCGTTTTAAACCGGTACATCGGTGCATGTTGTAAACCGGTAAATGGACCGTTGAAAAGCAAATTGAACGGTTTCACATAAACAATTGGACTCCCGGAGGGTATTAGGGACCATGGTAAATATTTCGGGAATTTTTATTTTTGGGCGAAAAAAGTCAAAAAATTCAAAAATTGAAGGCTAATATCCACGTTTTTTGAGAAATTTTGGAGGTTTCGGGGCCCGGTGTCGAAAAGTCTTGAAATTCTATGGGATACATCTCGGGGTCATATAATGCCGTTTGGAACCATATATGATCATTATTTGTTGTCATAAATGTTCGTGGTAGGTTTTAATTATTGTAATCGGTGCAAGTTGTAAATCGGTAATTTGGTCGTTTAAAGGCAAATTAGATGGATCCACCCACCCAATTGGACTCCCAAAGGGTATTAGGGAATAGGGACCATGGTAAACATTTCGGCAATTTTTATTTTCGGGCGAAAAAAAAAAAATTCAAAATTGAAGGCTAATAATATCCACGGTTTTTGAGAAATTTTGGAGGCTTCAAGGCCCAGTGTAGAAAAATATTAATATTTTAGGGGATAAATCCCGGGGTCATATAATGCCGTTTGGAACCATATATGATCATTATATATTGTCATAAATGTTCGTAGTAGGTTTGAGTTAATGAAATCTGTGCAAGTTGTAAACCGGTAATTAAATTTTCCGTTTAAAGGCAAAATTGGATGGTTCCACCAACCTAATTGAACTCCCGACCGGTATTAGGGACCATGAAAAAAAGTTCGGAAATTTTTATTTCCAGGCAAAAAAAAATTCAAAAAATTCCAAAATTGAATACTAATATCCACGCTTTTTGAGAAATTTCGGAGGTTTCTGGGCCGGTGTCGAAAAGTCTTTAAATTTTAGGGGATAAATCTCGGGGTCATATAATGCTATTTGGGACTATATACAATCATTATTTGTTGTCATAAATGTTCGTGGTAGGCTTGAGTTAATGAAATCGTGCAAGTTGTAAACCGGTAAATTGGTCGTTTAAAGGTAAATTGGATGGTTCACCCATCCAATGGGACTCTTGGACGATATTAGGGACCTTGGTAAACATTTCGGCAATTTTTATTTCCTGGCGTAAAAAAAAGTAAAAAATTTCAAAATTAAAGTCTAATATCCACGTTTTTTTGAGAAATTTTAGAGGATTTGGGGCCCGGTGTCGAAAAGTCTTGAAGTTCTAGGGAATACATCTCGGGGTCATTTAATGCCGTTTGGAACTATATATGATCATTATTTGTTGTCATAAATGTTCGTGGTAGGCTTGAGTTAATGAAATCGGTGCAAGTTATAAACCAGTAAATAGGATGTTTAAAGACAAATTGGATGGTTTCACCCATCCAATTGGACTCCTGAAAGGTATTAGGGACCATGGTAAACATTTCGGCAATTAATATTTCCATGCGAAAAAAAATTAAAAAATTCCAAAATTGAAGGCTTTATATCCACGCTTTTTGTGAAATTTTGTAGGTTTCGGGGTCCGGAATCGAAATGCCTTGATATTCTAGGGAATACGTCTGGGGGTCATATAATGTCGTTTAGAACCATAATTGATCACTATTTGTTGTCATTAATGTTTGTGGTAGGCTTGAGTTAATGAAATCGGTGCAAGTTGTGAACCGGTAAATTGGTCCTTTAAAGGCAAATTAGATGGTTCCACCCAGCCAATTGGACTACCGGAGGGTATTAGGGATCATGGTAAACATTTCGGCAATTTTTATGTTCTAGCGAAAAAAAGTCAAAAATTTCCAAAATTTAAGGCTTATGTCCACGATTTTTGAGAATTTTCGGAGTCTTCGGGCCTGGTATCGAAAAGTCTTGAAATTCTAGGGAATACATCTAGGGGTCATATAACGCCGTTTTGAACCATATATGATCATTGTATGTTGTCATAGATGTTAGTGGTATGCTTTAGTTAATGAAATCGGTGCAAGTTGTAAACCGGTAAATTGGCTATTTAAAGGCAAATTAGATGGTTCCACCCACCCAATTGAACTACCGGAGGGTGTTAGGGACCATGGTAAACATTTCAAAAACTTTTATTTTCGAGCGTAAAGAGCTAAAAAGTTTCAAAATTAAACGCTAAGACCCATGTTTTTTGAGAAAATTTTTGAGGTTTCAAGGCCCGGTGTCGAAAAGCCATGAAATTTTTGGGGATCTTCTAGGGGTAATATAATGCCTATTGGAACCATTTATGATCATTATATGTTGTTATAAATGTTGGTGGTATGCTTGAGTTAATGAAATCGGTGCAAGTTTTAAACCGGTAAATTGGTCGTTTAAAGGCAAATTGGGTGGTTCAACCCTCCCAATTGGACTCTCGGAGGGTTTTAGTGACCATGGTAAATATTCCGGTAATTTTTATTTTCGAGCGAAAAAAAGTAAAAAAATTTCAAAATTGAAGGCTAATATCCACGATTTTTGAGAAAATTTTGAGGTTTCGGGACCAAGTGTCGAATAGGCTTGAGATTTTAGGAGATACATCTCGGGGTTATATAATGCCGTTTGGAACCATTTATGATCATTATATGTTGTCATAAATGTTCGTGGTAGGATTAAATTAATGAAATCGGTGCAAGTTGTAAATCGGTAAATTGGCCGTTTATAGGCTAATTGGATGGTTCCACCCCACCCAATTGGACTCCCAGAGGGTATTAGGGACCGTGGTAAATATTTCAACAATTTTTAATTCTGGGCTAAAAAAATTCAAAATTTTTTTATATTGAAGGCTAATATATCCACACTTTTTGAAAATTTTTGGAGGTTTCGGGCCTGGTGTCGAAAAGTGTTGAAATTCTAGGGATATATCTCGGGGTAATATAATACCGTTTGGAACCATATATGAGCATTATTTGTTGTTATAAATGTTCGTGGTAGGCTTTAGTTAATGAAATCGGCGCAAGTTGTAAACCGGTAAATTGGTCGTTTAAAGGCAAATTGGATGGTTCCACCCACCCAATTGGACTCGGAGGGTATCAGAGACCATGGTAAACATTTCGGCAATTTTTGTTTTTGGGCGAAAAAGTAAAAAAATTAAAAAAATTAAAAAAATTGAAATATCCACGCTTTTTGAGAAATTTTGGAGTTTTCGAGTCTGGTGTCGTAAAGTCTTGAAATTCTAAGGAATAAATGTCGGGGTCATATAATGTCGTTTGGAACCATATATGATCATTATTTGTTGTCATAAATGTTTGTGGTAGACTTGAATTAATGAAATTGGTGCAAGTTGTAAATCGGTAAATTGGCCGTTTATAGGCTAATTGGATGGTTCCACGCACCCAATTGGACTCCCTGAGGGTATTAGGGGCCATGGTAAACATTTCAGCAATTTTTATTTTCGGGCTACAAAAAGTCAAAATTTTTATATATTGAAGGCTAATATCCACACTTTAAGAAATTTTGGAGGTTTTGGGGCCCGGTGTCAAAAAACGTTAAGATTTTAGGGGATACATCTCGGGGTCATAGAATGCCGTTTGAATCCATATATGATCATTATATGTTGTCATACATGTTCGTGGTAAGCTTGAGTAAAGAAATCGGTGCAAGTTGTAAACCGTTAAATTGGTCGTTTAAAGGAAAATTGGATGGTTCCACCTGGCCAAATTGGACTCCCGGAGGGTATTTGGGACCATGGTAAACATTTTGGCAATTTTTATTTCCGGGTGAAAAAAGTCAAAAAATTCCAAAATTGAAGGCTAATATCCACGTTTTTTGAGAAATTTTTGAGGTTTCGGCTAGAGCTGTCAATTCGGGTAAACGGGTTTGGTTTCTGTCGGTAAGAGTGGGTCGGGTCAACTAGGGCCAGGTCAATTCGGATTAATTCCATAACTAATGCGGGTTGGGTCTTGGTTGGGTCATGCTTGAGTCGGGTCATACTTCTTATCGGGTTTGGGTCGGGTTTAGTTTGGGTTAATAACAAGTTGGGTTACATTCGGGTCGGGTGAACAATAGGTCGGGTTTAATTCGGGTTTTCACGGGTTAGGGTAATTCTCGGGTTCGAGTCGGGTTTGGTTCAAGTCAATAATTTGCGGGTTATAATCAGGCCGGTTAATTCTCGGGTTTGTATCGGGTTTAGTTCAAGTTAATAATTTGCGGGTTATAATCAGGTCGGGATATTTTCAAGTCGGGTCATTCTTGGGTTCAAGTCAGGTTCGGTTCAAGTCAATAATTTGCGGGTTATAATCAGCTTGAGTTTTTTTCAAATCGGGTCATTCTCGGAGTCAAGTCGGGTTATGTTCAAGTTTATAATATGCAGGTTTCAATCAGGTGGAGTCATTTTCAAGTCAGGTCATATTCGAGTTCAACTAAGTATAAATAGATAATTATCATTTTTATCAAGCTAATTATTTCCTTTGAGTATAATTATGTGAATATACTAGGGAACTATAGTTTATAATTTAGGAAGATAAATCTCTCCTTTGACCATACAACAAATATATACTATAATTAACTCTTAAATTTGAGGATGATGCTCCTTTCTTTTGCCTGGACCGACTTGGTCTCCCTAGAGAAAATGCTTTGATCAACAATAATAAGGTGGTCTAAATTGAATTAAAGGTGATTTGAAATTGGGTCAGGAGCAATTTGGGTTGAATTTAGGTTAGGTCAATAACAAGTCGTGTTTATATCGGGTCGGGTTAGTAATAGATCGGGTTGAATTTTTGGGTCGGGTTAGTAATAGACTAAAAGTAAAATTCGGGTCGGGTCAATAACAAGTATAGTTGAATTTGGGTCGGGACAATAACCAGTCGGGTTGATTTCGGGTCGGGTTTGTAATAGGTCGGTTTAAATTCGGGTCGGGTTGAATTCAAGTCGGGTTAGTAACAGGCGGATTAAATTTGGGTTTTGACGGGTTAAAACGGGTTTGGGTTAATATCGGCTCAAGTCGGGTTCGGTTCAGGTCAATTATTTACGGGTTACATTCGGGTCGGGTCATCTCCCGGTCAGTTCATGTTCGGGTCTCTCATACTCGGGTCAACTCGGGTCTAGGGTTGGTTTCAGGTCGGGTTTGGGTCACCATTTTTTCGGGTTCAGATGGGTCGGTTAATAATTGGGTTTGAGTTGGTATTTCGGGTCGGGTTAACTTTTGACAGCTCTATCTAGTAATAGATTTGAAGCAGTTCTAGTATTTTGATTTCTTGAGTTAACTCCTGTAGAAGATAAGGTTTTCAAAATTAGAATTTTTTTTTTTTTTTTTTTTTTTTTTTTTGGTTTTAATGTATTGTCATAACTTATCTAGCCTTTATCTTCTGGCCGTTTTACATAATTGGTTTATAAATAATATCATTTAAATTATGTGTATGTGATTTAAATGCTTAAGTTAATTGGATTTTATTTATTTGATGCAAGGGCCTGATATAATTATTGTTGTTATGGCTATCAGGAACTAGACTTCTTGGTGGAGGCACAGAACAGTAAAAAATGTTTGCATAATTTTCAAAAACTATCACCACATATATCAGACAGTATATATGTTCCATTGGTCTACTGGAACATGAGTACCAAAAAATTGCTAACTATGGAGTATATAGATGGTGTCCAAATTGATGATGTGAAGGGCATTTGGAAAATGGGAATTCTACCATACGATGTTTCTAGACTGGTAAATTTCCTTATTTTGCTGCACTTGATTGCGTGTCATGGTCTAGCGTTCCTAAGACCTTTGGTATAGCATGGCTTGGTCCCGGACTCCTAGCATTACATGACCTATGATTCTGATTTTTTTTAATAATTTTCTTCCATGCTTTAATCCTGATAATTATTAATATCCACTTTGCAAGATTTTTGGAATTGGATAACTAGTTTGACCGGGGTTCATAATAAAATTTCCGTTAGTTTATTTTGTTACACTGAGCCTTCATTTATACATTTTTTTGAAATTTTTTTTTGTCCAAAATTTGTATTTCTGCCTTCAATAGTGTCTAATAAGGTTAGTGATATGTAATTGATTGTAGATTAGCGAGGCTTTTGCAGAGATGATTTACAAACATGGATTTGTGCACTGTGATCCACATGCAGCCAACTTGATAGTTCGCCCATCGCCTTCAGGCAAAAGAAATATATTAGGTAATCTTTATCCATGTAATTTTTTGCATTGCACAAATATTTTGTCGAAGATGGGTCTATCCAGGAAAGATAGTACCACCAAATTTAAATCTTATATGATATACGCTCATGTTCCATAAAAAGCTATTTTTTCGATTAAGGAAAGTCACCCATATATCGGAAAGGTATCCTAGTATTATTATCAATATGGTTCCATAAGGCCCCGTTTTGGATACTTTCACTAAGCCTTCACTATGAACAATTGAACACAACCAAAATCAACAATGATAGTGGTGGGTGTAACACTAATATAAACAACCTATGCATTATTAAAGGTGGATGGGTAATGAAGGATTCTTGACACTTTAATAAGACCCGGGATGCCTAGTTGTGATTGAAACCATCCACCACAACGTATTTTCGAAATAACCATATAATTGAATCAAATATAGTCTTGAGACCTTATAGGCCTATTGATAAGTCTATTATGGACTTTATAGTTCCAAGCCAACTTTTATGACCATGAGAAACAACCCTCATTCCCACTACATTTTTTGAAAAATTTCCCGAAATATGTTTGAAAGCATGGGCTGGCCTTTACTTTTGGAAATTTCTGACAATTTCGTACCCAAAAAAGGAAAAAATAAGGAAAGAAGACTGGATGTTTTCTATGGAACCCACTAACCTCAACAGCCCGCTGGTGTTTGAAACTGTTTACTTTGTCTTTTAGTGTTAAATTATCCAACTACGGGCACACCTCCTATCATTATCCAAGCCGACTATATACATATATGGTTCCAAACAACCTTTTACGAGTCCGAGATGCATCCCTTTCCATTTCGTGATTTTTCGACATCTGGTCTTAAAATCTCTGGAAAAATGATCCAAAAAACGTGGATTATTGCCTACGATTTTGAAACTTTGACTTTTTTGACCCAAGGTTGTGGTGCTTCTCATGGAACATATGAGACCCTAGGTGACCATCACGGGGGTGATTAAAATTGTCCAATTTGCCTCTTAACTATTTATTCAATCAATTATGGACATGCCTCTTGTTATTGACTTTAGAAAACCACAAACATTAGTGTGACCAAGTTGTGGGCATATATGGGGAATGTTTTATGACCTTGAGATTTTTTCCATCGTTTTCATTTGAATCAACAAAATTTCGAAACAGCCGTATATTAAACTAAAATCATTCTCAAAACATTATAGACCTATTTTGTGACTGACTTGTGGGCTTATATAGTTCTAAACAATCATTTATGACCCCAAGGTGCTTAATGAAATTTTAATAAACTTGTTATTACTGAAGATCACTTGCGTAGCATTGAAATGAATAGAGTGTTGTACTAAATCTCAATGTTATGAACTATCCATACAAGGGGTATTATTGGAATTGTACAATAAATCAACTAGGAAGCTTGAAGAGAAGGGCAGTTAACAAGTTAAAGGAAAAGGGGTATCATGAATTCTGTAAATAGAGGAGAGTCTAAAGAATCTGGATTAAGAGGAGAATTGAGAATCTTATTTTAGCTTTGGGAGAGTGTCAAGTCCTTGAATGACATCATCAGGTTCATTTCCTAGTTGTCCTTACTATTGTAATCAAATGTGTAGGTTGATTATGTAGGTCTCTTTTCTTGTGTTATCTTGTGACCTTTTCAGTTTTATACTCTTCTTTTTCTCAAAAATTTGCAAATTTGACATATTGTTCATGTAATGTTGAAATTTAAATGTGTGTGCACGTGCAGAATACATTTTTTTTTTTTTTTTTTTTTTTTGCTTGGGTGAGCACATCTTTGTTTAGCTTTTCATCATACATTGATCTCCATTCTTTGTCTAGAGAACTCTATTTCAAGATGACATATGCACTGACTCTGGCTTTCTGATTTCCTTTCCTTTTAACAGGCAAGAGAAAACCACAGTTGGTACTTTTGGACCATGGTCTATATAAAGAACTTGACTTTGATACCAGAGTAAACTATGCTGCATTGTGGAAGGTGTGAATATGTTAATTCTGTGGTTATCTTAATATTTTAAGTTTCCTAAATTTTGTATAGACATAAAGGGAGCATTTGAGACGATCTTTTTATGATTTGTTATGTAGGGGTTGGTGTTTTCTGATGAAAAGGCTATAAGAGAAAATAGTGCAAAGCTAGGTGCTGGGGATGACCTCTATGCACTATTTGCCGGTATTCTGACAATGAGGCCTTGGAATAGGGTCATTGATACCTCAGTTGATCATTTGATGATACAGGGGACAGAGAATGATCGATCAGAACTCCAGGTAAATTTATTCATTACAAAGTGTTACCTTTTGTCTTTTTTAAGGAGATTTTTTTATATGCAGTGTTGATTTAAGTTTTTAATATACTACGTAATTGATTTTGATCTTCCTTATAATCATGGATGTGCTCATGTGCTTCCTAGTTTTTTCTCATGATGGTTTTCTGTTACTGACTTGTTACAAATTGATGTTATGCTTTGTTGCTTCCAGATGTATGCATCCCAGTACTTCCCTCAGATCTCAGAACTTTTGAGGAGGCTGCCTCGTGTGATTTTGTTGATGCTGAAGACCAATGATTGCTTGCGATCAGTCAACAATGTTTTGGTAATGCATTTAAACTTGAGACTTCAGTTACTATATATGTTATTCCCTTTATAGTTTCCAGTTTTTGGACAGACCAAGTGACCAATGTACATGAAAGTGATACATGTAGTCAACAATGATCAGTATTTGATGAACTGACTTTATTTTGATAAACTTCTTATGTAAATGGCCATTTTTTTTGTTGAGGGTCATGGGGACAATGAGTGCACAAGGCAAAAAAAGTGTCATCATCTTGAGTTATTAGTGCTGTTCCACCTGTTGTCAGATGGTTTTCGACTCTGTTTTCTCCAGTCCTTTTCTATTGCCAGTATGGTAAGGACCATTTTGAATTCGTGTGGAAAGGATGTCTAATGATTAAGTCATTAGATACTCTTCGAGAGTTTTGGGTGAAATGATCCGAGGGGAGAATTAATAGGTTAATGGGAACCCTTTATAGGCAGATCACATTGGGTGGTGGTGGTGGTTTATTCATTTCCTTTCAGAGTTAAGGAGATATGCAATTTTATGCGGAAGACAACTGAGATATTAGTTACCAAATGTCCTTTAAATTGTGACCACTTTCAATCACAAATAACGGACACTTTCAATATTACAAATAATGAAGTAATGCTGATATATGGATGCACATCCTAGTCCTGGGTGCAGGATAAAATAAATAACAAATATATGGGTGAGACTACTTTGCCAAATTTATGACACTCTAACTTTGCAATGTCAATTTTTGTTTGTTATTAGTCTTATTACCACTGGGAAAGAAACAATGAACAGAGTGGTTGAGATTTGCTAGGGATGTAAACTATTTGTTTCACCTACTAAACAGAGTTATATTGAGAGTATGTTATTAGTAGTTGTCTTTATCTGCTATTTGATTGTATTGCCTGATCTAACTTCCAGTTTTGAATATTTTGCTCAGCTGCAAGGATCCTCTTTGGATACATTCTTGATCATTGGTCGGGTTTCTTCCGAAGCAGTCATTCAGGCAAAGTTGATGAAAAAGAAATCTCTGATAACAAGGCTAATTGTCTGGCTGGAAGGGATTATTTTAAGAGCTCGACTTCTGGGAATGCACTTTGGTATATGGTTGTTGCACTTTCAGAAAATTTTGCTATATAGAAAATCTTTGGGCTGCTGAATGCTAGTTTCCACAGCTAAAATTGCAGGCTGCAGGCATTCACTTTTTGTTTCAGTTACACAAGCATGTTATTTTGGCCTAAGCCAACTGATTACAATTACAACCATTATTTAGAATTACAGTGAATATAATTGAATTGAATACATCATTCATTATTTAATTAATTCAATATTGAACAAACCCCAATAGGTCGAAAGAGGGGTCCTTACATTGTAATTGACAAATGACAAGCATAGATTATAAATAATGCATTGCTGCTGCGCAGCAGTATTGAACCATCTTTGTTGCCTCCGGTTCTACTTTGTTTCACACTTTTGTGAACCAGCTATTTGATTTTGCACTTCCTGTATTGTATTTGTGCTTCTTAAGCTTACGTTCCAATTTATGGACCAGAGTACCAGACACCCATAATATATGATGCAATTCTTGAAAATCCTTATATATTTTTTTCAGGGGTTTTATCCAACAAGTGATAAATTATAAATGACAACAGCACGTATACTACAGGAGTACAGGTATATCGCAAACAGAAGCTTGTTAATGTATATAATTCCTACAATACACCAGTCATATACATGGTTTACTAAAAAGAAACATAAGCCGATTATATGTTTTCTAATGAAATGGTTTCGATTCTTCTGATAACCTGTTATCGTATACAAAGTATATCTTATCTCATTGTAATTGAATGACTTTGAAAATGTACATATCTACATCTAGAAGAACTGGGAAGAATGTAGACATGTAGTGGTAATGGAGTTACTACTCATCAATGCAAAATTTTCAAACTTGAATGATACTGTAACTGATAAGAGTTAAAGCAGGTGTATTACCTCATATAGTAATGTTACTCCGCAATTGCTTTACTAGTCTTATTTTGGCTATTTTAGACAGTACTTGCAGTCTCAGAGCAAATGAATAGAAAAAGCCCAAGTGGACGTGCAATCTTCAGACTTTTCAACTACCATTAAAGTATGCCCAAGTTTGGTGGAGTATTAATTGACACCTTTTCTAGCAATTATTTGAACCTTGAACGTGCTTTGTTAGTTGTTACTTTCTTGTTTTTCCCGTATTACTTCAAAACTTCTTATGTTACTTTGATATGGCTTCGTTTTAAATTTTTATTCAACTCAGATTTGTAATACTTCCATACTTCATTAGGTTTTGAAAAAAAGTAAAAATAAGTTTTAAAAAAGAAAAAGTTAAGACCCGTCAAGTTTAAATCAGATCACAATAAGTTGGCTAGTATAGAGTAAACTCATGGAAAACCAATAAGTTTTTTCAATCTAAGTGACATGGTTAAATGAAAGGCTGGCTTACACAATACACACAACTATACAAGACATTGTACAAGTGACACATATTCTCATCCCCGTCCTCAAATCTTGTCACAAACATACATATTCAAATAATGTTTATAGAGGAATTTTTTTTTAGGGTTATAAAGTTTATAAGTTAGGACCTATGGGGTACGGGATATTCATTATTAATTTATTATGTGTAAAAGGCTAAGATATGGCTAGTACATCTCCCACGACCTCCTAAACCCAGCTCACTTACGGCGTTGATGGGCAAATAGCCTTTTCCCCTGAAAAATTGACTACGGAATTCATAATAAAATTAAGGTTGAATGCAAATGAATGAAATGGAGGTTGGGAGAGTAGAGTAAAGTAGTATGGTTCTGCAATTGAATACCAAAATTAACAAAAGCCCACGTCGCATTGAATATCCCACCAAATTATGCATCCCTAGTTACTTACTCACTCACTACTCGTACAACACTACTTATTTATTTACTTCTTCTTTCAGTTGTTCTACCCACTTCACCAATAATCTGGATTTTTCTGAAATTTCTGAATCTTTCTTCTCCTCATTTTTCTCTCAAACTTCACCAAATTTTTCCCATTACAACAATGGTGGGACCCGCCAGACCCCAGTTCGTGCTGTTCGGATCATCGATTGTTCAATACAGCTTTAGTAATGGCGGTTGGGGTGCCACTCTTGCTGATATTTATGCTCGCAAGGTTTATTCTGTCTCATTTTTTGTATAAAGATTTGATTTTTATGTTAGTTTATTGCGAAAGTTGTTATCTTTTGCGGTGAATTTTGGGTATTGATGAATCAAATGATCTTGTTATAGTTGAAATGATTTGATTGTGAATGATGATTTTCTTTAATGGTTGATTATGTATTTCATTGTGTATGTGAAATTTCATTGATATTAGTGTGTTTTTGGTTTGTACTTTGTGGGTTATGATATGTTGCGTTAAAGGTGTTTTTGTGAGTTTGTTTTGATATTAATATTTTAAGGTTGTACAGCATTTTCTTAGGAAATGAAACAGGATTGACATATGTAAGTCATGTACAAGGATGTTTGTAATGCTTTTAGGGCCAATGCTACATGGGTATTTTGTTTTTGGTTTGATCGTAGTTATGAGACGGAAAATGTCACCATTCAACCGTCTCACACTTATGCTTTATAGATTAATGGCTCTCCTAGGCAACAACAATGTTACTTTACACAAGTGGTTGGGCAAATAGCTTGTAAAAGAGGTTTTTTTATTAATACAATTAAAAGGGTAGTAGGATGTTGATTGGTAGTAAGAGTATGACCTGTTAAATTTATTAATGCTAGTTCACATGTACAATCAACTCACCAATATGGTAAATGTGTAGCAAGCTTTGAGTATGGGCTTTTGTAGGGGGAAAAAAAAAAAACATTGAAAGTTAAGGGAATATAAAGATGTGATCTCCAAAGAGTTTGATCATTACATGTCATCATCAAGCTTGCTCTAAATGGTTTGATTGTTTTCTTGCCATAGTCTGGCTGCTTAGTTGCTCCTCATTTTCCTGAGGAGATTTACATTTGACTCTCTATGTTAATTGAGCTGGTGTATATTGATCTAGCAAAATGTTCACTTCAATAGAAGAAGAATTCCTTGTGGAGTATATAGTTTGAGATATAACTACTGATGACAATCTTGTTTTAATGTACTTTGCGGCTATGTTGGTTTTTATACCATGGTTATTTAGCTTTAAACATCCCACATCACGTCCAGTTTCATCATAGCCATTTCTTATGTACTCATTTGCTTTTATTAAATCTTGGCTTCTGATATGTACAGGCAGACATTTTTGTGCGAGGATATACTTGCTGGAACTCTCGTCGTGCACTGGAGGTCCTTGATCAAGTCTTTCCAAAGGTAATTCTATCATTATTGGTATTCTTTTTGTTGCAAACACTTTTTTTGAGCCACCTCTTTATGTGAGATCCAACTGTAACTACTGTGAATGGAAAACTGAATGAGTGTTACATCAGGAAAAGCTGGTGTCAACTTACAGGGACTATTAGATAATGATGTACAAGCCAATTAGCCAAGGGTACTTTCTGGTTTTAGACAGATGATATAATGGAGCTTATGTGTCTTTGAATGTAAGGAGATAGTGTGAAAACTAGAACAAATGAATGATGTATATCCCAAAAGATAACATAAAAGCTGTGCACATTAATCAGAATCCATAACTATTATGGCTTTTTGTTCATTACAATTGGAGGAATGGGCATGTTTGAGAGAAATTTGGCAGTTGGGTGGACTGGCTAATTACTCATAGTGAAAGTGTTTTAGTGATTTGGTACTTGAGAGAAATATGTTATTGGAAGCAGGGATTATTCCATGTCTTGTGTCATGCTGTCTAGGAAGTAGTCCACGTAAGGGTCATTGGAGATCATCATAATGCATGCCTTACAGAGTGGAATCTGATGCTAAGACCTATTGTATCCTCGGCCTCTATTGTTTCTTAGGTTAAGGCCTCATTGGATAGAGAAGGTTTTGCTTTAAGTAGTGTGGCTATAAGCAGCCACATGCTCATCTCAGAGGGCTGTTTGTGTTACGGACTGAGCATTGTAGGTCTGAAAAACTGCTACTGTAGCTTTTAAGTTCCCTGCCAGATGATTTGTGAAGAAATACTTGTAGAATTGTTGCTATTGTGCTGAGCTTCTGCCTTAATCAATTATTGCTTTTTTTTTATTAATAATTTTTGTTTATATGTTAAACGTAATTCAATAACAATTATCTCCTTGAATTTGTTAGACACATCATGCTCATCACTCATCAATCCTGAGAATCTGGTTGAAGATTGTCAGTTTCATAATTGCAACTGTCAATTTCTTAATTGCTAGTCCTGTTATGAATCCGACAAGATATAGATTCTGTAGATCTGCTTCTAAAATAAATAGCAGACTTGTGACCCTTTTATGTTCCTTGCTGAAATTACCTTGATTAAATTATTTTTTTGACCCCCTTTTCCCCGAGGACAGTTATTTGAATGCCCCTGCTAATGCAAATATTGTATCTTTTCAATTTGTGGCTTGTTATCATCTGTCTGTTTGGCTTATTGGATCAGTTCTGCCTAGCTGTATGGGCCGTGTAGCTTATGTGATACAGAGTACGAGTATTCTGTTTCATTTGTTTTATAATTGGGAAATTTTACATGGTGGTCATTTAATTATTGATTTTTCAGTACAGTTGGATTTTTTTTTTGGTCTTAATTCTAAAAAGTGACCCTATGATTTTGTATATATCTCTAAGACTCTAACATGCCCTTAATTTGATGTTTGATTTTGGTGTTTTATGTTAACTTTAAAGTTAAATAAATAAAATTACTACCTAGTGGTTAGAGATGGGTTGTTTTGAGTGGGTGGAAGTGGTTTTGGGGCGGGGTAGGTTGTTTCGGCTGGGTAGGTGGTTTGGGGTGGGTTTAAGGTGAGGTTGGGTGATTAGTGGGTGTGGGTGGAAATGGCGGCGGCTGGGTGGCAGTGGGGCAGCTAGGCGGCACCGGTGGTGGTTGGATTAATTAAGAGGGTAAGTTAATAATTTTACTTATTTATGTTAAAGGTTGACCATAAAACACCAAATGTTAGCCATAAAACATCCATTAGGGCACGTTAGAGATAATATGCACAAGTAGATGGTACTTTAGGATTTGGCCATAAAACACCATATACAAAGTGAAATAATTAGAGGCCACCATGTGGAACCCTTTTTAATTGATGCTGAAAAAACTCCGTCCCCTTTGCCTCTTTTGTCCCTCTTTTGCTTTATCATTGTCTCTCTGTGGTAAGATTTATGAAATTTGACTTGTTAGACAGCTTTCCTTTTCTACAAAGTATATTGCAAAGGATGTCTTTAGCTGTGTTTGTGTTGTATTACAGTCCACATGAGAAAATGTGTACTGCTCTGCCTTTGACGTTCATTCTTTATTGATTGTCCACATATATCAATGACTTTTATAATTGCACTTCCAGCTAAGATTTTGACCTTGATTTTATATTTTTGGACTCTAGGATGCTAGTACTCAACCTTCATTGGTGATAGTGTACTTCGGAGGTAATGATTCGATGGGCAGCCACCCATCAGGCCTTGGCCCTCATGTGCCGCTTTCAGAATACGTTGAGAACATGAGAAAGATTGCTACTCATATTAAGGTGTGGTGTTGCTGCCTTCTTTGCTTTTTAAGAAGTTTTAGCTCTTGTGCTGTTTACATTGTATATTATATGTAACCATCACTGAATAAAGCGGATTTTTGAGGGCCTGAGGCTGTAAAATAGTCTGCCCTTTTCTTTCAATCATCCCAAATTCTGCATCTTAAGAAGCTATTCATGTGATGTGATTTCTCTTAAGATTAATAGGCCCTAAGGAAATGGCAACAATGAGCAAAGATTGGATTTATATGTTCATCTGAAGTTCTCATTTAAACACCTGAAGGACTTGTAGTTTTCTGCAAATTATTCTGTTTCTTAGTCTTCTTGCAGCTACACTGCAAATTATGTTCATTTGGATCCTTTGTTCCTACATATTATCTGAAGTCTAATATAAGTGTCTGCAAATTAGGGTCTTTCAGATACGACACGGATTATTTTCCTTAGTAGTCCTCCAGTGAATGAAGACCATATTCGAGAAAACAGAAGGTTTCCCTTTTGGACCTCTTCTTTTGTTTAAACTTTCTACATCACAGGATTATAATTTTGAAGTAGGTGTTTTTGTTGAACCAGTATATATCTATCAGAGTTACATCGATCAAATGAACAATGTCAAAGATATTCTGAAGCTCTGATAGAGCTATGCAGGGAAATGGATTTGAAAGTGATTGATCTTTACTCTGCAATCCAGAAGAGGGAGGACTGGTTGACAGCTTGTTTTACGTAAGTTTGATAAGATTCCTGCTTTGACCTCTAACTAAACTGTTTTAAAGACTTTCACTTGCTGCTTTAATCCTGAATGATTTTCACATGCATTCAGCATTGAATTATCATCGAAAAACTTACTAAATTTAGAATGTGACCAATTATTTTGGTAAATTATATAAAGACTTAAACTATTACAAAGAAAAGTATCTCAACTTTATGTTGATTTTGTACTTGGCAGAGATGGGATACATTTCTCTGCCGAAGGAAGCAATATATTGGTAGAAGAGATACTGAAGGTGCTCAAGGAAGCAGACTGGGAGCCGAATTTGCATTGGAAATCCATGCCAACTGAATTTGCTGAAGACTCCCCATACTATATGGTTTCTATTGATGGGACTAAGGCATTAAACGGGTCAGACTGGACATTTCACCGGAAAATTCAGTGGGACTGAACTGTTTAAGGATTTTTCTGCTGCCTCTTCTAAGTATACATCCTTTTCAGGATCGAGTATCAGCAGAAGTGGCTGCTTTAGCTTGGAGATAATAGTTGGATAAATGGCCTAATACTGGCTCATATTTACCTCGATCATAATTTTATTATATACAGTGAACAAAAAATTATTTGTCGTCGGGGCCTCTATATCGTAGTATAATTGTGGCTTATGTAGTTTTACTGCTTTCATTACAGTTATCTTGTTCTTAGTTGATTGTAGAGATCCACTCTCATCTTCTGTGGAATCATCGGAATAAATATTTGCTTATTCTGTAATCAAATTGTGCATTTGGTAGCTTGCAAAGTACAGCACCTGTTTCCGCCTTTACGATATACCGTAATTAGATAAATAATACAAGTACGACTGTAAGAAGAATCATATACTACGTAGATTTGATAGGTTCCTTATTAAAAGAACAAAATATGAGAACAAAATTTTCGCATCATATTCACATTTTATACTACTGTATTAATTTTGACGACGATTTATATTAATATAACCATTATTATACGTAGTATTATCTTTAACAAAAAAAAAATGTCATTATATTAGAAATGACTACTGTGCTTTTTACGAGCCAGATCAGGTTGAATCCAAGAAATGAATCAGGCTAAAAATCAGAGGAATGAGAAGACACTCTTGAATCCGAGAAATGAGTTGACATTCCTGGTTATGTCCCCAGTTTCAAGTGAACAGCTTCCTCGACTTGCTTCCATTAGATGATTTAGTGTGATACTGCTTTTAGGCTCTGCAGAATCGCCTGGAGGCTCGTAGTGGACATCTTTCCTTGACAGTGAAGAGTTGAGAGATGGATTAGCAGTATATGTTCTGTTAGGTTGATTGTTGAAGAGGTCAAACGGAAGATCCAATGATTTTCTTGAAGTTGAAGATGCACGCTTTTTGTCCTTGAAGGTTCCTGCAGGCGAATGTACATTGTACTCATGCTCAATTGTTTCGGGATCAGAAAAGATCAGAGACCCAACTGGAGCTTCATATGACTGTTTCTCATTGGCAACATTCAGATGACCAAGTGTTTGCTCCTTGTCAGAAAAGTTCCCTTGTACTCCAGAAAACCCTTCTTTGGTGTTTGATGTATTGATCACTGGTAAATTTTTGGACCTTTTTCTAACATGATCAAGTATGTGCTCAAGTCTTCGGACTTCTTTTCTGTTTACTTCTATTCGAGAATGAAATACACCTGATACAACATAAAACGAAGGTTAAATTGAGCATGAGGTGCAGAATTGAGGTTGTAGTGATCGTGTTATTTTACCTGCTGACTCTTCAACATTATTAGTCTCTTGATTAACAATTGCATCTCCATTGATGTCTAGATGGCCACTGTACTGTCTTTTTAAACTAACCATATGTTGATTGACAGTATTTCCCTCAACTTCTTCAGAAAATTCAATCATGCCAGGAGAAACATGCTGCTCTACACAAATACTCTTTGTTGGCAAAGTTGAAGCTTCAGACGTAGTAAAATTAATGGCACCGGACTTCTTTATGGCAGGGAAATCATTGGCCTTTTTACGAATGTGATCAAAGATTGTACTCCCAGATATAATCTTGCAGTCATCCTCAGCAACTTTACCATCAAAACTACCTTCAAGAACACACCTCAACATAGATTTTAGTATTCATAAACAGAAAACAAAGTGAATATGAGATTTTAGTGTTTTTAGCCATACCTTCATCTGGCTCATCATCTATGAGTTTAAAAGAGGGCCTGTCAAAACAAAGATTTACAAGTAAGAAACAAATGTCGACTATGCCAGTATTTTCCCTAATTTTTCGTGTGTGTGTGTGTGTGTTGGGGAGGGGGGACAGTGCCAAGCAAGATTAAAGTTCAGTTACATGTCATCAACTTTTTTATTGACTTTGGTTCGGGTTGACTGCTCCTTAGCTTGTTTTACACTTCCCCTAGTGCTTTTGAGTGGAGAAGCTTCTGCAGGAGGTAGGACAGAGGAAGATCTCTTGGTTCCAAGTCTAAGAGTCACATTTGACTTGATCTCTTCAAGGTGCTCAATCTGATGGTGTATATCAATACCAACTGCATGGAGTACAGCATAATATAAGTTCACGTTTATGTACCAGAGTGTGCAGAAATACAAAAGAGCTCCCACCCCCAGATGAAGCTACTTCCTCTGTCCCATTTTATTTGCTTGATTTGTCAAAACATGAAGATCAACAACTTAGTCTGCACAATAGTACAACTACCCAAATCTACACTTTGCTAATTACATGGCAAGTGCTAAATTTGTAAAAAGGGACTTGTGATTTCCAAATGGCTCTTAAATTTTCCAAAGTCAATTCATGACCCATCTATGATGAATGTAAAAGGAAAGGAGCATCATCAACTTATCTGAATCCAGAAAATCCTAACAAGAAATAACAATTAATAAAGTAAACAAAACGAGACAGGGAATGGCAAATATAAGGAAAAAAAAAAAGACATTTATATGTTAAGATCAGAAGTCTTACTGAATTCTTCAAAAACCAAATTAGCCTTTACAGTTGATTTTCCTTGTAGATGGTTTGGCAAAACCACTGTCGTATGGTATGGGCTGTAAACAAAAGAAATTATCTCCAACAACAGATGCAAGAAGGTAGCAACTTTCACCAACTAAGAGTCTATGAATAGATACAAAGGCTTAGTTTTTTTTTTTTTTTTTTTTTTTTTTTTTTTTTTTTTTTTTTTTGAGGAAAAATACAAAGGCTTAGTTGAAAACATATCAAACTGAAATCCTTTAATTTTATCTCAAAATTGTAGCTTTGTCCATGAATTTCGATCATACTAGAAGATGCAGAGAATACAGGGAAATACTTTGACTTACAGCACAGAACAAAAATACAAGAATCTGTTCTTTAAAAAATGAAATTTTCTGATATTTCAGGAAGCCTCAACAAGATAATTACATCCTGAAGTGAATGAGCATCTCAGCCTATCAATTTAAAACTACTTTTGTGATAGTAACATGTTTGTAATAAGTGTTTCTCTCACAGCTGCACTCCCAGAAGAAGTTTGAGATAAATATACAATAATGTCATTGGCTAATGGCATTCCATATGTTCATAAGTTATCAAATAAATGAGCCATTTGAAGCTTAATATTTTGCAGCCAAATAAACTGAGAAATTAAGTGATCATACCTGAGAAAATCGTCCACCCTGCCACAATATTTAAAGAGCATTAATAAAAGCAGAAGATGAATAACAAATACAGTTTTATCACTATTATGAGAATGACAGGTCATAGCACATATTTTCAGGAAGTTCAGTAATATGGTAAAAACAGCTTCTTGTGTTTTCCTCTTTATGCAAACCACCCAATCATAAAAGTAAAGCCTCAAAATAATGGGTGATGAATAGATGAAATGATTTCAAGTGAAACTAGTATCACCTGATTTTCTCATGGTAGATGATCATATTTTCCTCTTCCATACCAACAACCTGCAAAGAATGAATTCCCAAACCAGCCATCCCAAATTTAGTACACCAGATTTTGTTTTATATCAAAACTTAAAAATCAATTCCTAATAATTTACCATATCAGCATAATGCCGTTTGTTAGATTGGGCCTGTGTCAGCCTAGTCAAAGTTACTGCCAGCTTGGGCTTTCCTTGCCCCTGGCCTTCAGTTGCCTCAATCTTCATCTCAACTTTTGGAGGCAAAGAAAGTAAAGACTCCTTAATAAAATCTCCAAATGGAAATTTCCGATTGGCAACAATTTCTATTCTCCTAGGATCAGCTTCAGCCAGGGTCTCAAATGAAGTTATTCCCATAGAATGCAATGCCTGAGCATAAAAGCAGTTTGCAATCTTAACCCTAGAGTAAACTTTCCATCAGCATCTCAAAGCATATATGGTGTCTAGTTACCTTTGCTGTCACCATTCCAATGCCAGGTAATTGCTTCAGCAAGTAAGGACAGCTATCCCACAGTTTATGATGTAGAGATTTTGCAAGAGCGATAGAGTTCAATGCTCCTTTGTAGTTCTTTTTAAAGAAAAAGTACTCTTTCATGCACTTGGCAATTCTACATCCATTTGAGCATATAGAATTTGCATCCTGTATGAACATGAACCAGAGCACAGTGCATAAGATGGAGGTCAAGCCAGTCATAAATAGACTGAATTCAAGAAGTAACATATAACCAGACCTGGCTTAAGGATAAATCATGGACCAGAGGGTCTCCAGTCAAGCAATCATTGACCAAAACAAATATTTTCTCTTCCCTTGTCTGAATGCGCTTTTTCTTTTTCCCTTTGTCTCCAAGGATGTGAAAACGAAGGCGGCCATCTTTGTCAGCATTGACATCATTTAGAAGCCTTTTCTCATAACGTCTAAGCTGTATCCCTATATTCACCAACCAAAGGAATAAATCAGCTCTCCATATTGCAGGAAATCGCACAAAAATTAATATACTCCATACATACAAGCTAACTCCTCTGCTCGGCAAACAATATGAAGTGCATCTTCTAGGCTGCAGTTTGATTGAGTCTGCATAATGTATTTCATCGTGTTGAACTTCAAATAATACTTCGTCATCAATCTTCCAGGCTCTGAAAGTTTATTCAGCACAGCTCGTTAGTGCACTAACCTGTCCCCCCCATCTTTAATGGTGAAGAGAGGATACAATCATGTGAGGCATAAGATTATATTGAAAATATTCTATTTATGAGCCAAGCCTACCTAGTGGCTTCAAGAGGAAACCATCTTCATCAGTCCAGATCAACTGGTTTCTTGATAACTCGTTGACTTTCTTAACACAAATATCTGTGACAGTCATATGTACCATTTGATAAGATCTAAAATATATTACTGTATGGAATGTAGTTATACTATCGCCAAAAAAAAAAAAAAAAAAAAAAAAAGAAGAAGAAGAAGAAGAAGAAGAAGAAAGAAAAAGAGAAAGAGAGCAATGAATTTAGTACCTTGCATATGACTCTCAATACGGTCTCTAGAAATCCCTTTCTGAATAGCATAAGTCTCTGGGTTCTGAAAGTACTGAAAGAATTAGCTAAGACAATTGTTACAGAGTGATTAATGGTATATATTTCAAGATACTTGCCTTTTTCATCCTGACATACAAGTATGAACACTTTATCCATTCAATTGCCCGTGTAATGTCAGGGATAGTTAGTTGTACTATTTCGGCAGTCAAATGCTCCATTATGCAAGAAAGTAATCTAGCAGTAGAGAAACTATAACATATAAAAATTATATACATAGAGTATAGAACTATGCATTATGAATTTTGAGGGTCCATACATACT